TAGCGACAACAACAGTCAAAGTAAAATCTTTATGGTGGGCCAAGATATAGTGTAAGCAGTGAGTGAAATAGGTTTTCATGTTTGGGACAACAACAACAACAGCTACCGGTACTTACTTCACTTCTCTCGCTACCAGCGGACCGCCTGAGTTTCACGGGCGGGAAGAACCCCATGACCCCCCGAGAGGGTCCTCTCCCCTCCCACGGCTGGAACGCCGACGAGTCGAAGTCCACGATAGTCGGGACGGTCCTCTCCCGGGCCGGCTGCGCAGGACGCCGTCGAACGACCGTGCAGGCGCCGGTGCCGTCTTGACGTGCCGGGGCGGGGGGAGCTGCGAGCCGTACAGTTTGTACTCCCCGTCCTGGTTAATCGGTGGCACGCTGCGGTGCAAACTCTGCCTGCTCGTCAGCTTGATAATCGACGGTCCCATACTGTTTCGTCTGCCAGGTTCTACCGCCATAGCAACTCCTGACATCCTAAAAACCTACTCTCCAAAAAAGCCTAGAAAATCCGCACCACTTCAGAAATCCTCCTACGACCTCCTCTCACGCCATTAGTAAAGACTTGACACGGCGGATTTGCAATGGCTATACCCTGGTGATTGTTGGGCGGCCTTTGTTCCTTGGTTTACGTAGTGGCGAAGCCGTGAAAAGCCTGGTGGAAGCCGATCGGGCATATTTGTTTACCTAGACGACCGCCGCCTGCGCTCACCCGGGCGACCGGTCGCGCCGCCGCTGGCTGACAGTTCCCCTCGTAATCAACTTACCTTTCCCGACGGGTCACGTAGATGTTGTACCCACTCTTTATTTGCTTAGTTTGCAGACGTGACAAACTTCACAAAGACCAGGTGTTAGCTGTCCAACACTATCTTGAATCACAAAAAACACACTCGACAACAGTGCTATTAACCTCTCCAACTTGGCACCTGCCAGGCTACCGCACGTCGTCCCGCAAAACTGCTTGTTGCCCCGGAGGGTGGTTGAGCAAGTGGATTATTCCCCAGCAGGTGAATCGGTGTTTTAGTGGATAAGTGATCGACCTTTTGTCCTAGCAACCGGTCAAATGTCAACGTCAAAAGTCAAATGTTAGGCCGGCAAGGCTGACTCACAGCTGTAAAACAAACATTCAGTCTGGTTTGTTTGTAACTTGGACCATTGGATTGTTTGGAAAAAACACAAAGATTTAAACATGAGTATTGACGTGTGTAGTGAGTTGTGACGATTTATTACCTCTCAAGTATTCGGTGGCGTGGCTGCTAGCTTTGGTATCTTTCAATATAATCAACCCGACAGTAGAGGAACCGTTATGTCGATATCATACAAATGAAAGCTACCCATATATACTTCAATGAATGTATATGGCAAATATGTAGTTTCAAAGTCCCTGGTATATTAAACTAAACTACTGGTATGAAACAAAATATTTTGACATCAGGCAAACTCTTTGTTTGACTTTTAGTCATACTTTGGGTGAAAAGGAACGATTTAATCATACGTAGAAAAATGTAAAAATGTCGCTAACTAATACTTAACCCATTGGTACTGAGTATTTCATTTACAGATACAAATTTATACCGCCTAGGCTAGTCTTGTCGAAAAAATCTCTTCGATTGGCACATGCACATATAAACACATGTTTAAACTTTAAAGGGTCAGTCGAATTTTTTTTCAATATAACTGACCGACTACAATCCTTTCGACCGACACTTCCAAATCACTGTCAAAATATGGCGCGGTAAACATATGACCTAATAGTGCCCGTGGTTTATTTACACAGCAAAGTACTGTTGTACTATGAGTCTACACTGTGTACATACATTCTAGATATGTATGTATAACCATTTGCACAGGTGACCTCCGCCATTTGGAAACCGGACCGAGAACTATGAAAAGTTACGTACGGCACGGCCTAACATTTAAAATAGACGCACAAAGTATACTGATTCCCACCCACGTCAAGACCTAGAAATGCAATCAAAAATGCAAATATTTGACTGACACGTAGTCATTTTCTCATTGGTCGAACCAATAATTGCCGTTTGACAGTTTTCTATTCCAACATCTACTTGAAAATCTATCAGTGATAAGTTATATCTTGAATGAGATCGACGATAACAACAAATCTTTATTTTCTAACAGGTGGTTTGTGCAATACCGTACTTATCCGCTTGGTGACACTGCTACCAATGCCTTGCTATGTTTTCCTTTTCGCTAGTATTCGCTCCATTTGGACGCATCTAACTCGAACTGGTAAATTTATCTATAACTTGGCAACGCTCCAGTGGGTACCAAGACGTAGTGTGTCACGTGATCCCGCCGACCAATCAGACCACTCCAAGTTCAGTTTCACTTCCTCATTGAATCTGCCCACACAAGACAGAAGACAAGGCTTTTACTTCCACTTTCTAACATATGCCGCGTTGAAACGTCGAGATCTGAAAATACGTCTTCAAATGCATTGAAGTGGACAGAAGAATAGCTCAGGATCTCACCAAGATGTTCTTTGAGGCCGCACAGGTGATTCTGGCCGTGACAGGTGTGTTGATGTACCTGTTTCACCATCGTAAACACCTACAGACGCTAATATGGCGTCCGTACGTGCCCTTATTGTTCGGCCTGGGCGCGGTCTTCTTACTAAAGAACACGTCCAAACTGTTGTGTTTCGCAACGTGGCTGTTTTTCGTCTGCCTCCACTACTTCAAGGACCTACAGAAGGGGAACGAGAGCGAGTGTCCTATCTGTTTTGAGGATTTGAAAACCTCTTTCCCATACGAGTGTACCCGTTGCAAGAAGGCCACTCATGCCAGGTGCGTGGTGGAGTATTTGGAGCGTAGCGGGGAGGGTCGTTCCTTTGCCCGTTCTGTCGCAAGGATTTGCGCGTGAAGAAAGAGGAACTGAAACTCGCCATTGAACGGTTTGAAAAACTGATGGGTGGCGAGGACGCAAAAGAACGTCTGGAAAACGAGACAGCGGAAGATCAACCAACCACAGCGTCAGAAAAACGCCAGGGAAAGTTACTTTCACTTTTGACGGCTTTGAAGACGGCAACACTCGTGAGCCTGATGGTAACTTTCTATGGTTCCTACCAGCTCTTTAAGGACAGCTACCGCGCCCTTCCGGGAGACCTGAAGACATTTGCAGGCGTATTGGCTGTAGATGTAGTTCAATTGGTCCATGGACCATTGAGATCGCTCGCACAAAAGATGTACGGTGTAGCTTTGATCGTGATCAAGTTTATAAAAGAGGGAACGACGGTAAAGAGGCTAGCATTGTGGATCTTGCAAACAGTTCAAACCGTGGCCACATACATTTTGAACTCTTCCCTTCTGGGTATCCTTAAAAGGGGAACTATGGACGCATTGCACTTCCTTGTTCACACATTTCCAACGCTCGCCTACAATTTCACAAGAAGAACCTACCACACCGCCAAACAAGTCATTCAGGATATCTTGACATCGCGTTTTATGGCTGAACTGAAAGAGGACCTTTACGTCCTGTTTTCTTTCACTTTCCGGACTGTTCCAATTCTTGTCAAAGACGTTGCTGTCGCCGTGTGGCGCTCGCGAACAGCCGAGTTTGTCAAGCAAAAGACTTTGGATGCACTTGTCTTGGCGTTTCAAACCTTGCCTGGACTATGCAGTCGTGCGGTTTATGTTATTTCTGTAAGTATTAGAGATGCTATCATTTCAATGTGGCACTCGCAGTTGCTATACAATGCAATAAATGCATTAAGCAATGTAATTGGCGCAGTGCGCGAATTTGTGAACGTACATGGTGTGTATATCTACAACAATGTATTGCTTCCATTGGCAAAACTTTTGTACGATGCGTACTGGATTATTTGCGAGGCTCTGTACAAAGTAGTGGTATTCATGTTGAAGACTGTATTGCCGATCGCAATATCGCTTTGCAAGGATCTGTACAGGTGGCTTCGAACCAATATTCCCGATTTGTTCAAAACGATTTTGTCCTCATCGCGACTGTTGTGGTCTTATACATCTTTAGTGCTGAGAGAATTGTGGGCTACTGTTATAAATTCACGAGCGTGGGTTGCAATTGTAAACACAGCGCAGCATTTGAAGTGGGCGGCCATAAATGCCTATGCAGTGATTCATAATGTATCCATAGTTGCCAAGAAGGCTGCTGTTGTAGGTTTTCATACAGTGACACAGCTCAGTGGTGCCGCCCTGCGGAAAATGACAGAACTGCTGCTCACTTCCAAAATCGTCTTCTCCACCATAATGCATAGTCAGGTTGTGGAGAACATGATCGTCCCATCTGTTATGTATGCTGGGGCCATGAGTAGGGAGCTAGCACAGAGTACAGTGCAGTACTTTCAAGTCTATGGCCCAAGAGTTAGGGAAGCCATGGTAGATGCGATGTGGGCAGCTTATAACTATGACTACAATGGTGTACTGTACATGTTGATGGAAGGATTAAGGGGTACCATGAGAAGGGTGTTGTACAGAGACGCAAATGCTGGTAAGACCTAGCTTTTGGGCTGAAGCCTGATATGCGAAACAGCATCATACTGTAATTGCTTCCTGTGTATATGGCTATTAATAGAAGCAGTTATTAATTACCATTTACGTATGATACAAAATAACTAATTTTCCTGCTTTGTTTGCATCGATCGATCAAATAAACCTTTTTGGTGGCATTGAATAACTGTCTTTCTACAGCTGTCACCACAGATATGGTGGTGTTTATATTTGGTGGGTTGAACAGGTAGAGCTCTTTCTATATGTACGTGGATATTATTAGACATAAATCATGCAAATAACCCCTAATATTACAGGACGAAATGCCACAATAACGTTCGTTGTGGTTGTTAAAATACCTTATTTACATAATCAATGAGCTACAACACGTCATACACAGTTACACAATATTTGGCGAAGGTGTGAGGTCGTGGAATTTGAACTAATAAGTCAAGATCATATGATCCGCTTTCCAACAGATGACGCGTTGAAACGCAAAGGAGTCTTTAAATGTGTTGAAATGGACCGAATAATAGCTCAAGATTTTGCCACGTTCTTTCAGCCTGTGCAGGTGATTCTGGCCGCGACAGCATTGTGCCTGTTTCACCACCGTAAGCACCTGCAGACCCTGATATGGCGTCCGTACGTGCTCTTATTGTTCGGCCTGGGTACAGTGTTTCTACTCAGGAACACGTCCAAACTGTTGCGTTTCGCGGCGTGGCTGTTTTTCGTCTGCCTCCACTACTTCAAGGACCTACAGAAGGGGAACGAGAGCGAGTGTCCTATCTGTTTTGAGGATTTTAAAACCTCGTGCCCATACGAGTGTACCCGGTGCAAGAAGGCCACTCATGCTCGGTGTGTGGTGGAGTATTTGGAGCGTAGAGGGGAGGAGTCATTTCGTTGTCCGTTCTGTCGCAAGGATTTGCGCGTGAAGAAAGAGGAACTGAAACTCTTTATCGAACGGTTTGAAAAGCTGATGGGTGACGAAGACACAAATGAACGGTTGGAAAACGAGACAGCGGAAGATCAACCAACCACAGCGCCAGAAAAACGCCAGGGAAAGTTACTTTCACTTTTGACGGCCTTGAAGACGGCAACACTCGTGAGCCTGATGGTAACTTTCTATGGTTCCTACCAGCTCTTTACGGACAGCTACCGCGCCCTTCCAGGAGATTTGAAAACATTTGTGGGTGTACTTTTTGAAAGTATTAGAAGTGCCATCGTTGAAATGTGGAACTCCCAGTTGTTACGCGATGTACTAAACGCACTATGGAATGTAATAGGCGCACTGCACGAATGTGTGACTGTACTTGGTGTAAATGTCTACAACAACTTGTTGCTTCCACTGGTACGGCTTGGTGTAAATTTGTTGCTTCCACTGGAACAGATTCTGTGCGATACATGTTGGTTGTTTTCAAAGCTCTGTACAAAGTAGCGATATTTGCGTACAAGCTATTGCCAATCACATTATCGCTTTGTAAGAACTTGTACAAGTGGCTTCGAATCAATGTTTTTGAATCATTCAAAACGATTTTGTCTTCGTTGCAACTACTGTTGCTGTCTTTGGCGGCTTTAGTGCTGAGAACATGGTGGACAACGATACTAAAGTCACGAGTCTGTGTTGCAGTGCAATATGTCTGTGGGGTTATCATTGACCTTTCCATTATTGCTAAGAGGGCATTTTATACAGTAATGCAGCTCAGTGGCGACGCCTTGCGTAAAATGACAGATTTGTTGCTAATCGTCTTTGCTACCACTATTAGACGTTTGCTTAGTCAGGTTGTGGAACTGGCAAGATTTATGTACAATACATGCTGGCTTATTTGCGAAGCTCTTTACACATTAGTGATATTCGTGTGCGAGATTGCATTGCCGATAATATCGCTTTGTAAGGATGTGTACAGGTGGCTTCGAACGAGTGTTACCGAATTGTTCAAAACGATTTTGTCTTTATCGCAGCTGCTGTGGTCTATTTCATCTTTAGTGCTGAGAGAATGGTGGACCTATATTCTAAATTCACGGGCGTGGGCTGGTATTGTGAACATAGCGTATCATTTTAAGTTGGCGGCCATAAACGCCTTTGCAGTGATTCATTATCTATCCATAACTGCAAAGAAGGCTGCCAGTGTAGGTTTTCATACAGTGAAACAGCTAAGTGCCGCCGTCCTGCGGAAAATTACAGAGCTGCTGCTCACTTCCAAAATCGCCTTCACCACTATTATGCATTACATTTACATGGTTATGGAACACATGATTGTACCGTCTGTGATGTACGCTAAAGCAATTGTTAAGGAGCTAGCCCAGGGCACAGTGCAGTATTTACAAGTTTATGGCTCGAGAGTTAGGGAAGCCATGGTAGATGCGATGTGGTCAGCTTATAACTATGATTACAATGGCGTACTGTACATGTTGTTGGAAACCTTGAGGGGTACCATGAGAAGGGTGCTGTACAGAGATGCAAATGTTGGTAAGACCTAGCTTTCGGGCTGGAGCCTGATATGCGAAACAGCATCATACTGTAATTGCTCCCTGTGTATATGTATATGGCAAATACTAGTACAATGTAGTTATTACCATTTAGTATGATTGAGTACCCTGTAAATATATAGGTCATTTGTACATATAGATGAAAATCATACTTTTGGACAGAACAGCAAATGTACAATATCTTCAAGAAACTGACTGTAATGTACACCCAGGTATGTGAACTGTCAATTTTAGTGGCTTTGTAACCTTTTGTGAGCAATGGGGGATTGTTACCAAGAAGTGTCAAGTAAATCGGTATACATGTTTACATGTATGTAAATAAGACGAACTGATTTTCCTCTTTGTTTACGTGAAATAAAACTTTTTGCTGGCATTGAATGTGTCTTCCTACTTCTATCACCATAGATATGGTGGTGTTCATGTTTGGTAGGGTGAACTGTTAAGAGTTGGCACAGCTCTTTCTACAACTATCACTATCAGTAGGCCTTGCTAGCACACTCACTCACTCACTCACTCACTCTCACTCTCACACACTCACTCTCTCCCTACACCCAACCTATCTAAAAGCTGCTCTTATGAAACTACACTTCCTAGTGTGACACTCACTAGTGCTGAATGATCATCACAACACAATTGAAATACATCCATAATTACTTTATTTCCGCTGTGTGATTTCAAACCACACACAGACTCTGATCTGACTTTGCGAGAAAGATACAGTCCACATCTGTGACGAAATCATACATCACAAGAGAAGAAAAATAACACAAACATGTCTAAATCGAGGACAACAAGGTCATACTAAGTACAGCTTTCAGCTGGCCAATTATTGGTTCCGAAACATACAACCTTATAGTCCTCAATGGTGCAACACCACTGGAATCAGGTGTTGCTAAAAGCAAAAGAACATTTCATTGGTCTAGTTGGGAAATATGTATAACAAATGACGACATTAGACACTTGATTGACATTCTTGTAGGAGAGACAATAGGTAACGGATAAAGATGAAGATAACAAGTAACAGATGAACATCATTGACAAAGGAATGGACAACTGCTACCCTGGTGGCGTCGGCTCCTGGGCGATGATCTGGCTCGTTGGGAGAGGACTGGCGTGTTGACACTGCACTGGCGCGTTGGGAACTCCTCTGGCTAGGGCGGCGGACTCCACTGGCTCGTTGGGCGACTCCTCCTCTTCTTATCCCTCGACGATTGGCTCGTTGGGATCCGTGGCTTGAGAAACGGTGACCTAGGCTACAGGATGGCTTCAACTCTGCCTTGAGGTATACCGGTAAACTGATACTGATACTTATTCTGGTGCTTGACTGGCTTGTAGGGGTGGAAGTGGTCGTACTTCTTCAGCTGGAAGTGGTGATTCTGATAACGAGAGTTTGTGTAAGTAGACGCTGCCGTGTTGGTTGCCTGGACGACTGCTGTATTGATGGAAGACTGTGGATGAAGATACATTGACGAAGACATGGATGAAGACGAGAGACCTTCTTGAAGTTGACATTGCCACTCTTGCAGATGAGCTGCTCTTGTAGATGATTCTCTAGAACTGTGCTGATGCGAACTGGTGGAAAGGTATGGCTGAAATGACAACTTTTTAGCAAAGAGTTCTCTGGCGAAGTAATGCAGCGGCTTGACTTTCCACCACTGCATTTGGTGACTGCGCTGACTTCCAAATGACGAAACAGCGACCCCACCCACAGAAGGGCTTGGCACTGACCCAAATGGAAGGGGGGGCAACGAAGGCTTGGAACCCCTTTCTGGGCAACTCTCTGGATGACCAAAAGACAGAAGAGTGGTCAGCTGAACTTGCTGACCATCACCACCTCCCCGAGCACCATCATTGGACGTTGGAAGTATCCACTGCTTCCCAGAGAAGACCAATTGCAATACAGATCTTTCCTCACCAACGTATCCAAATACAAGTTGACGCTGAATTGTACACCCAGAAAAATTGGGGAAAAACAGGACACCAAAAATACAACGTTGTGTCCAAAAAGAAAAAAAAATACTAATTTTTTTGACACACTTTCTCTACACAACTGTACAACACTGTATCCATTCTAAAGCTCTGCTAGTAATGTTTAGTTTTAGTTGCAATGAGATAAATATATTTTCCATATTTACAACATCTTCTTATTTGTTCAATCACTGAAAATTGATAGGAATATAACTTTCTGCTCTTTCTTTGTCACTGGTATAAAAACGTGCAGGACTCACAACTAGCAACCTGCGAAACAGGTACTAAAAATTCCGAAGGCTTGTCTAAGGATCATAGCTTTTCACATTTGTAGGGTTAGAGTAGGCTTTGTTTAAAAATTGTGTTGTAAGGAAGGAATAGTCTATTTTCACAGCTTCCTTTTTTGTTTAACTATTGAAAATCATTTTGAATGGGGCTCTGGCATTCAGGAAAGAACCCTTTCGTCAGGAAGGCTAGAAAGCTTTTCTAGAACCCGGTCAAGGCCGACATGCTTAGCTTGCAGTCCACTTTGGATTGGTCTGCCGTCAAAACCACACCGAGGGACGTCAGGAATTCTACGCAGACCTCAGTCGAGTCAAACGCAAGCTCGGTCACGACATACGATACAGGTAACATGGGGCGGTAGCTACATGGTGGTGGTTGGGGAGAGAAAACAATATGTTAAACAACATCAAAACAATAACTTCGTCAACACCCTAGAGTATATACCGTAGACAAATGCAAAGAAATACCTACCGATATCTGGATATCCCCTTTGGAAAAAGCAACCTTTACAAGAAATTACGACCAAAAGTAAGAATCTTGCCTACCTTACTTGGTGGACCTCCTAAGAATAAAGGTACCATACTTAACACTTTTAAATCAAAAGTGGTTAAACTAATGATAACCTACTTACATATGACTGCAAATTACACAGGTTTGAGGTTGAAATCATGAAATACATTACTACATTTTTGTACCAAATATTATCCTGAATGTACTCTAGTCTATATGGTTTTACAATTGATTTCTTGGTAGAGGGCTCAAAAAAAAAAAAAAAGAAGCTCAAATCACTTGTTTAGGATTAGGAATTTGCGTGCAAGGCAAAACAATAATTTTAGGAGAACACAGAGATTTGCATGCAATTGTGTTAATTTTTGTAGGTAGGAAAAAACACACACATGCACACACAGTAAAATTAAACCCAATTTACACACAGGCGAAAACCTGATGGTACAGAAACTGCATATGTATATGACACATTTTCCTGTGTGTAAATTGGCCTGCTTTGACATACAGCGATACACACGCAGAGAAATTTTGACGAATGCAGTTTTAGTACCCTCTGGTTTTTGCCCTTGTGTAAATTAGGTATGGAGGACAATTTGGTGTGAGGGGGAAAAGAGGAGTTGATAGAAATGATAAAAAGAACCGTGACGTACGATTTGATCAGCAACTTCAGCGCTGCCTTGCGCTCCCTGTCAACAAACATGTCAATGAGATAGCCCGACATTTTGGGGGCGGACCCATACAACTTAAAGAACGTGTGATAATTGGAAAGCGCCCAAGCTGAGCGGAGGGACAGGGCAAAGGCTATGTCAGGGTCTTCCCGCATCTCCTTTGTTAGCGAGGCCAGGCATGTTGTGATATCTGTGGGCAAATGGTTAAGGAGGAACACTGTGATGTGGTACAAAATAATGGCTGTAACAATAACAAGAGATGTTAAATGTTAAAATTAGATCAAAAGAGTAGTGTTCAAAGTACAAATTTGATATAATATGGAACAGCAAAAATGAACAACATAATATTACATACAGATAAATGTTCTTTGCTATCACATCAAATACAACAAACGATCTATATTAACATAACGCATGTTGAAGCAGAATGACTGAAAAGGATACCAGCTTTGTTTTTGGTGAAGATATAGTAGATGAGTCTGTATGCTGTGAACTCCCAACTGTGTCCGTTCTCAATCCCCTCCGAGTACAGCGCTTTCAACTGGGTCTGGCACTGATTGAACTCATGGTAGTCCATCTGTACATACACACAAGATCAAAACAAGGCCATTAGGGATGGAAGACTTCACCCCTTTACCCACACTGCTTTGTGACCCTTCCAGCCTCAGAGATAAAAGAAATAGCAGCACTGGGAATATGTATGCCAATGCTGCATTACAGTATATTGGGCACAGTCACAGATATGTACATACTCTGCAGTATAAGATGACAAAATATTTGAGAGTTCTCAACATATTTATGCCACAATACGCACCTTTTCCAAGGCTATCCTTGCATGTGTTTCGTACACGAGCACTGCAAAACTGTCTCGAACACACTGGATCTGGGAGAAAGAAAAAAAAGGTATTTCAAAAAGAAGCAAACATTACAAAGTACATCAAACACTAATCTACCTACAATCACCACATATACATAGAATTTAAGAATTTTTAGATTATAAATTGAAAGTGCCTTTCCAGAGCAACTTACCGTGAGATCCTGTCTGATAGACTTGAGTTGTTCACAGGCGTAGTGGTAGTCTCCTAGTGCCTTGTACTTGGCCTTGACGTTTTCCAAAGCTTTCTTCAGCACTTCAACTGGCCGTACAAGAGACGGGTCTGGTGCCTGACAAGAAAACAGAGAAAAGTTACTGGTAAACATAAACAAAGAGCGCAAGTAAACATAAGCCTTAAGTAATCAAAGCATTCACACTACTGTAATTCCTGATTTTTTCGTGGTACAGACTACAATGAACTATTTCAACTGCCGAAATGTCCTATCTATTTCTACCCTGAAATTAGGTGAACTTGTACGTAACTACATGTCTAACTTGAAGCAAACTTACAGTGGTGAGCCTGAGGTAGGGTTTCTCGATGTCCTGACACATCCCGATGACAGTGTGATCGGGGTCCCAGCAATCTACGCTGTCGTCATTATCATTCTGTAAACAACAATAACAACAATCAATTCATAACAACTACATCATCACATTACATGGTCATTGAAACAATGCTTTTTATAGCTGTAAATTCAAATTACTGCAGCAACTTCGAAATCCTTGTCTACCTGGCATAACTTCCTTCCTACTTGACCATCAGTCAATCAGTGGCAACGAAATTCCACCTCCCCCTTCCTACATATCTACTGCATTCAAATTCCTATGAACCCAAGCAAACACACCCAAAAGAATATGTCCATACCATAATGGTAATGATACTATAAATAGTTATTTGTATTTGGTACTACTCGTTTCAATAAAGATTATTGAAGAAAAGAAGTGCTTACATTGAAGTTGTTGATAGTGAGTTGAAGGGGTTGTGACCGAGGTTTCCTGTCTCCGGCGAAGCGAGCCATTCTTTTCTGCAGCTTAGCGGCCTTGTTGGGATCATCGTAGCTGAACTGAAAGTCATTCCTGTCAAACAAAAAGACAAAAATGTTTAGAAACACAGAATGATTTTTAGAAATGGGTTTTAGCGTAGGGTGATTTAACATTTTCAACAAGAAATTGAGATGTGTTTGTGAATGTATTGGAACAGTGGGGGGATTGTATGATGTAATTCGATCAGGTATTATAAATTCTTCCTGAATTCCTCCATGTACCTCACTACCTACCAGGTGCATGTTGTGCAACTGTTTGTGTGGACAACAAACCCAGCCGAAACAATACTCCAGGTACAGAGGTAAAACTCTATCATGCTTACAACCACAGTTTGAATAAATTAAAGAAACAATCAAAGCGTACTTCTTTCTCTTGTTCTTTCCTTTCCCAGGAGTCTGGTTGCCCTTGCCTCTCCCGCGCCCTCTGCCCCTACCACGGCCCCTCGGGACACCCCGGCCGGATCTGGTGTCATTGTCGGACGAACTCGAGCTCCCACTGCTGCCTGCTCTCCTCCTGTAGCGCCGGTTGTAGCTGTTGTACGGGCGCGGCGAGCGGGATCGAGATCTGGAGTGAGATCTGGACCTGGATCTGCTTCTGGACCGCGATCTACTTCTTGATCTTGACCTAAACCTACGAAAAAGATATAGAGTGGTTTACATCAACATATACTCTACCTCCAACCATTTTGTCTGCCAATCTTCTGTGTGCTGTCAACCTACTCTGGACAAACAAGACACACAAACCCCCAGCTCAGCCACCCAATACAATACTACTGTACCCAGAAGCAAAAATGTGATAGGAGATTACGTAGATTTTGACATGAGATATACTTTTGTGTTGTGTGTCTACTGACCTGTTCCTACCACCCTGCAGTCCCCTGTTTGGGCCCTGGTTCTGTTGTCTACCCTCTGACTCCCCCCATCTGCTTGGTCTGTGGGTGGTCTCCTGTTTAACTCGGTCACTGTGGATACTGTCAACAACAAACATGGTTCCCAGTCAACTCAAATTTTACACAAAAATCAAAGATGACATACTTTCATTAAGTATTTCAAACACCTTCTTACAAAGAGTTGAATATCTCTTTTACAAAGATATTTCTTAAAAGATATTTCAAGTTGGAAAGGACAATTTTGTTGTCATTGACAATACACATTTGTTGTCATTGACAATACACACACAAAGAAATAAAACTTCAGACAATCAGACACATACCCTGGCAGTGGTTCAGTGTTCCAGTCTATTGTCCAGGCTGTCCCATTGTTAAACACTTGAGTCAGTTTACCCTTCAGGATGATCTCTACCTGATCTTTGTCTATCTCTTTTTCACATCGGGCAAAGGCTCTTTGTACATAATCCCTACAAAAATAACAAAAGACACAAACGTGTTAGAAATACATGCAAAAAAAATACAGCATGGAAAACACATTTTGTAACCACTAAGAAGATACATACTACAACTTTGTCTGCACAACATCTACACAATTTATTTCAGTGCTTTTTTGGTTGGCTTACATACATTGTAAGCAAATCCGTTTAAGTAGCAAATCTTTTTTCTTCGAGACACCAAAGGTAAGAAAAACTCTTACTTGAGACTTGGCGGCCAGTCGCTTGGGTTTGGTGTGCCTCCACCCCTGCAGAAGACAAAAGGAATCACATACATTTAACTTTAAGACAAGACCCAACATATCACCACTATTGTGAACTTCAATAAATGTAAAACATTGGTACATTAGTAGAAGTACACTTGACTAAGCTTACATACATTTCTTCTCATTTCTTGTATAGGAATAAATAAATATTGAGGCAGTACCCTGCAGGCAGTGAATTGTCATGTTGAGGTTGAGGACTGGGTTCCTCGTGTTGATCCCTGTCTTGACGCTGACCTTGGCGGCCTCGGAACGACTGCGGCGGTTGCTGCTGGTGCAGTGGCTCCGAGTTGGTCTGCCGCTGGTTGTTCGACCCTGCAGAGTGGCCAGCTGATGCTAGTGGGTTCCCCATCTGCTGGTGCCGCTTGGGAAGGTTGAATTTTATCCCTGCACCTGGAGCAGCTGTGTGTATATAAGCAGACACTAAATTTTATGCCTCCGTCTTGAGCAGCTGTGCTGCATACAACTTTTATGCACCTGGAGCAGCTGTGCATGCATAAACAGACTAGATTTTATGCCTCTGCCTTGAGCAGCTGTGCAGGCATGAACAGATATTTTGCATACATTTGTATCTTAAAGTATGTAATAAGCAAAGCTAGTTACAACATACATGTACTATGATGTACATTTCATTCCCAGACAATGCTATATGTTACTGACAAATATATCTACTTCATCAGACCTGCTTTTTAAAAAAGTAGCAGATTCCACCCGTTGTATTGCCAAAAACAACCACACACCTTTCATTTTCATTTGGTTTGGTGGTTGATTGGGATGGTCATTGGGGCCCCTCTGTGAGAAGTTCCATGTATTGGTCCCCGGTTGGTTGTTCCCCTTAACGACATTAGCATAACTCTGCTGATTCTGGGTCCAAGGTCCAGACATTGGGGGCTGGTTGCTGTTGTCTTGGTTTGGACCCATCATAGGTGGTTGTTGTTGATTTTGTTGTTGTTGTTGTGGTGGTGGGGGGCCTGGCATGTTGGGTGGCTGTTGCGGAAACTGTGGCATGTTAGGTGCCTGGCCAGGCATATTGGGCTGGTATCCTGGGTACATGCCCTAAAAATCACGACCAAAAATTGCCAAAAATGCATCAATGAAGGCATGGGATAAGTACAACATAAGAAGTACTGTAGGTATACAGTGGTTTTGTGTTGTTTCATTACTTCGTAGACATTTAGTTAATAATGATATCCTCAAACTTTATACAAAGATTGTTTGTGTACATATACATTTTACAACTCAAAAAAGGATGTACTTACCCCAGGATTTGGGTACTGTTGGTAGAATGCAGGGTTGTATCCAGGCTGATATGGATACTGGTATCTGTGGGTCAAAATCATAAATTTGTCAGATGTTACTGCTTGTGACATGAACTTAAAGTAACAATCCAAACAAGTCAATGGATCTTTTGTTTACAGAACAGTTACGTGTAAAAGCTAGGCAGCCACAAGAAATTATGTTTTCTGATACTACTGATTTAATAGTAATTAACTAAATGCTATGTTATATTTTTAAAACAGTGCACACACCCATATTGCTGCTGATACATGGCATATTGAGCATACTGCTGGTAGTATTGTTGGTATTGTTCTTGTTGTTGTTGTTGCATGTTTTTCTGCTGGTTTTCTGTAACTGTTGACTCCTGCTTCTCCTTCTCTTTCACTTTCTCCAGGGCCTCCTGTGCTTTCTTCCATGCAGGATTCTCTACGCCGGGCGCTGGCGCCTGATTGGTTGAGTCTGTCGTGCCAGGAGGTGCAAGACCTCCAGAATATTGTTGTGACCTATAAAGTAATAAAATATGAATTTTGACGTAGAAATTGAAAAAAAACTGTATTATACATTTTGTTAGTATTACAGCCAAGCAGATGTTTATGTCTGTTTACTTTGATGTTGCAAAACAACAATACTGTCGATAGGGCAGCATTTTTTCAGTGAGGACACCTTTGAGTATAAATTTTAGAAAAATACCCTGAAATAGGTTTTCTAGAACTTTCCGAATCTACGTTATCTAGTATGATACATACTTACATTTGTCTAGACGTAGAGTTGTCTATGTCCTTCATAATTTTTACCAAGTTGAAGTACATAATAGAGACAGATTCGATATTTTCTGAGGTAAAAACGTATCAGAAATCCCAGACATTGCAGAGACAAACGCAAAACGTGAACAGAAACGAATGTTGTCCGTTGCTAAGGCAAAGTTGTACTTTTTCTCGAACGTTTTTGTGGCATCATTTGTGTCCTTTATGACGTTTCACCTACATTTTTGGACAGAGAGTACCCGGATGTTGTCCTGTGTTTGGACTTTTGAGTTTGATACCGGCCATATAAAAATGATACATAATATCATTAATCTGATAGACTGAGGATAAAAACTGTGTGAAATTCTGCGAGATCTACATAGCAAGATTATGGGCAAACTTCGTGAGCGTGGTATGTAACGCGCTGTATGTTGATAAAAACGGAAACACTACGGTCACAACGCCACCGTCTTTTGAGTACTAGGAAACAGCAAATCCTACCAGTTTTACACAAAATATGTTCCTTATATCCTTAACTACAAACGTGTGACCCTAAAATCGGTAATCTGCTTACCATTGCGCTGCTTGGGCCGCTTGAGCAGCCGCATTCCACTGAACGGCGGCCATGGCAGCAATTTTCTCTCAAAATGGCGATTAACAGTGGTGCATACCAATCTTCCGCGTTACAAGGGGTAGCATTTTTTTCATAACTAATCAAAACACGTAAAAATTACTAAATCACCAAGAAATTAACACTTATTTATATCATTATATTTTTACTTGTAACATTTTAGGCTTGCAAGTACTTTGTATTTAGGAAATCCAATCTCATTTCACAAAACGGGCCCCTCCAATTCGACAAAAAGGTACAGCCCAAACATTACGACATCGGCGTGGCGACTCTCGGTAATTTTCGTGAAACTTCGGCAACGCGGATTCAGAACGAGGCCAATTGACGTCATCAGCTGCTCTGATTGGCTGAGCGGCTAATGAGTTTAGAACTCTTTACCGTGTTTATTTTTTGTCAGCTTGTACACATGCGACAAACAATATAGCACCCAATCGCAGCAACCGGTTCTGCGTTATTCACGCATATAGAAACAACAGGGTATCTTCATTTTAGTTACAGGAGTGTAGTCATTGTAAAATTTGCCATCGTACGCGTAGATAGGAGGGGTTTTGTGAAAATTTTTAGTGTTGCAGCACATTTTATATCCCTCCGCGACTGCAGCAACAGATCCATCCCAACATGGCTTCCAGCATGGATGAGGAGCAGAGCCTGAAAGAATGCGAGGCGTACGTTCAAAAACACAACATCCAGCAGGTCCTGAAGGATGCCATCGTGCAGCTCTGCATCACCAAGCCCGAAAGTCCGCTGGGCTTCCTGCGCGAGTACTTCGAACGCCTGGAAAAGGTGGGGCGTTTGGTGCGCTTGGTGGCAGTCAGACATGCACTTGTTTCAGTGTTGACCTTCCGCCATAATTTCTCTCTCCGTGTGTGTAGATCTACGTTTGTCTTTTACCACACATTTTGAGACCTGCTCTTTATAGATCACCCAGACTTAATGTTTGTAGATTAATCGTTCATCTACCGTGTTTAATTCTGTTAAGCGGGGACGTGGCATGATTTGTCAGCACATACGTTCACACCCTTTGATCACATCTTGTCCAACAACAAATTTATTCATGTCTTGTAATGGAGGCGTGATTGACAGCTCTAACTGGCGGACGGTTGAGTTAATGCGTTTATAATTGATGTGAATGTATGTCAAGGTCACATTCTTGGCGTTCTTGTTCTAACTACGAGGTCCAGCATTTTCTGTCACAACCGTATTTTCAACTGCTGCCTGCCAAAGTTGGGTTGCATGATGGGATTGTACCTTACTGTGGTTGCCTGCATTTTTATTGTATCCCACAATGCATTGGGAGGATTGGGTAGAAATGATGAAATTTTAGTGGTATGTATATTTCTCAAGGTCAAATTCCTGCCTTGCTCAGTCATGTTTTGTTGCAATTGTTTTCAAATGATGCCGAAGTTGAATTTAACATATAAAATAAATTTTGACAGAACATACATACATAGATAGTAACATACTGCGCTGGCACAAAATCCAGATTTTCCACGTTTTCTGGTTATATTTGGTCAACATTGCATTAATTTGATTAAAATTTTGCTTGTTGCAGACAATATTATCCTTTACAACACAACATTTGAAAACTAAAGACGAGATGTCATTCTTATAAATACATGAGAGTACCACCTGCCAAAGTGCTATGGACAAGATTTAATTTATGTTACAGGATTTGTGCAGGCACAGAGTACATTCTGCCGACATCACATAATGCAATGTGAACTAACTGTGTGTGGGCTGTGCTGGTTTATGTGCTGTTATGGATCTCATGATAAATGCCAGCTGTTCTTGCTGTGTGACTGACAGCTGTTTTTGTTGCTTGTTTGATGCATTTAGTGGAAGGCTTTGAAAAACTCAACTTCTCAGGAAATTGCTGGTTGGAAATGGAGATTTTGAGCCCTGTTGGCATTCATGAGACTCTTACAACCAAATGATTTATCATGTAAGGCCCTTAAGAAATCGTTACTTCATACCTTAGAAATTAACTACACCAGACAAATTTTACCTGCATCACTCAGAATTTTGAATCAATGTTATATATGAGAATTTTAAATCAATGTTATATATGAGCATGTATGTCAGGGCTTGAAATATGAAAATCACTTTCATGCCCAGGCCATATGGGCAGACCAAAATACCTGATGAAAACAAGAAATCATACAAAACGTATGATTGAAAAAAATGCTATTCTGTCAAAATGATAGATCCAATTAAGCTCTGTGACAAAGGAAACCCTATGGGAAAATTCCATGGAGTACTTTTTAAAAAGTAGTCTTTTCCCAGAGGACTGTAAATCTTGTACACTAAGAGCCATATGCATTGTTTCAAAAGGTCTCATGCAAGAACTGTAGAGCAGCAGCGGCTTTCAAAGCGGATAAAGAGACTTTTTTTGCTTGTGTGAAATGACCAGACATAGTATACATTTCTGTAATTTGAAAGGTAACAAAACTTTATTCATAACTTCTTTTTAAAGAGAGAGACAGTTCCCCAAATAAAAACATTTACGTAATTCATGTTGTTGAAGAGATTCATTTGTCACGTATAGATACAGTTCCTAGTAAATTCTTTCATCAGTGACAACTTTGGAAGGATAAGGATACTAACCTCCAAATTTTCGATGGCTATCAGTCCATCTTGTTCACGGAGTGGCCTAATCTCGCGAGAGCGCGAGACTAGGCCCGAGACTTGCATCGGCCTGTCGGGTCCCACCCCCCGTCGCCTCCCTCCGAAGTAAGGGTAAGTAAGTCTTTGTTGAGAAATGAGGTTGTAGGAATCCTGCAGAATTCCAAACCCCCGAAAGCCAACCTTTCTAGGGAGGAGAGAGAAGCTGTAAAATCCCTTAAAGAAAATAAGGACATTGTTATCGTCCCGGCAGATAAGGGGAAAGCGGTTGTTGTTATGGACAAAACAGACTATGTGGAAAAATGCGAAAAGTTGCTAGAAGACAAGGACACTTATAAGGTCATTGGCCCTGTTAACCCCACGAAGAAACTCAAGGGCAGGTTACAGAGAAAACTTAGGGAGATTAAGAAAGCAGGCCACCTTGACCCCAAGGTGTATGACAAGGTGTACCCTACATCTGATGCTACCCCGAGGTTCTATGCTACACCCAAGATACATAAGAACCCTCTCAAGATGAGACCTATAGTGTCAGGGATTAATTCCATCACTTACCACCTAGCTAGACATCTAGCGGACCTGCTTAAGCCCCTAGTGGGACAGGCAGAGGAACACATCAAGAACTCTTTGGACTTGGTCACTAAGATCCGAGAGGTGACACTCGAAGATGGAGAGGTACTCACATCTTTTGATGTCACAGCCCTCTTCACTAGTGTTCCAGGGAAGGAGGTCGTCGGGATGGCAGTTAGTAGAGCAAAGAAGGATCCCACCTGGAAAGATCGTACCTTGTTAACCCCCAAGGAATTTGGTGAGCTCCTCCTCCTGGTGGTTAGCACTACGTACTTTCAGTACAATGATGTTATCTACGAACAGACCTTTGGCATGGCGATGGGTTCTCCATTGTCCCCTGTGTTAGCGAACCTGTTCATGGAGGAGTTCGAGAGGAAAGCTCTACACACTGCTCCACACCGCCCCAAGTTCTGGGGGAGGTATGTAGACGACACCGGCGTTGTGAACAGACAGGAACATGAACAGGAACTCTTCGATCACATCAACACACAGCATGACAGCATCAAGTTCACTATTGAGAGGGAACAAGACAACCGTCTCCCCATGCTGGATGTCATGATGGTCAGGAATCCAGACAACACCATCACTACAGATGTGTTCAGAAAAGAAACCCACACCGACCACTATTTACAGTGGTCCTCCAACCACCCGGTGCAACAGAAGCTTGGGATAGTTAGGACTCTTATGCACAGAGCCAACACCCTTATTGAAGATCCCGCGTTGAGAGAGGCAGAAAGGAAAAAGTCAGAGTAGCCCTTAGACACTGTGGATACCCAGAATGGGCCCTGAGGGAGGGGGAAAACAACTCCAGAAAGGACAAAAGTAGCAAGGAACAGAGTAAGACTGGAAAACAAGAACAACTCCCAGCGAGTTACGTGGTTCTACCCTACATACATGGAGTCACAGAGAGGTTGAAACGTGTATATGCAAAACACAATGTGAGCCTGTACTCCAAACCGGGCTTCACCTTACGTAATGCCCTTGTGAGACCCAAGGACCCTCTAGCACCTGGTGAGAAGTGCGGTGTGATCTACAAGATCAAGTGTGAAGAGTGCGGGGAGGTTTACGTTGGTGAAACTGAGCGGTCACTGGGGGAAAGGACTTCTGAACACCAAAAGTCATTACACCAGAAAGACTGCAAATCTGCGTTAAGTCAACACCAACTCCAGGCTGGTCACAACATCACTACCAGGCCCATCTCTGACATTATTGAAATCATAGATCAAGAGTCTCGTAACCCACATAGGAAGATTAAGGAAGCGGTGCACATACAGTTGGAAGGTGCCAAGCTAAACCGGACAGAAGGTTGGGAGCTCCCCAAGACTTACTTACCCTTACTTCGGAGGGAGGCGACGGGGGGTGGGACCCGACAGGCCGATGCAAGTCTCGGGCCTAGTCTCGCGCTCTCGCGAGATTAGGCCACTCCGTGAACAAGATGGACTGATAGCCATCGAAAATTTGGAGGTTAGTATCCTTATCCTTCCAAAGTTGTCACTGATGAAAGAATTTACTAGGAACTGTAATTCATGTTGTAATCATTAATTTTGTTGTCATCAACACAACCCAATAACAGATTTATTAAGACCATTGTTCGGAACATAATCCGTCACCAACAAAGGTGGCCCATTTTATCTGGGTCTTTTCATTACGCAAAACCTTTTAAATGAAATATTACATGTTATTCAATATCCCTCGGCTTGTGCTCGGCTCGTATTGCGTTGTTTGGATACGGCACACGGGTGTAAAGTGATTGGACCATATTTGTAAACATCTGGTGGAGAAGTTGGGTTGACTTAGACCCACGCGTAAGCGTTACAATTTCTACCGTAGAAGTAGAATAGAAGGGCGTAAGCCGCGTTGTTGTGGTTTGCTTGGTTTGTGTTGGTTTTACGAAGATTCAGAAGCGATGCCGCAAATGCAAGCTACATGTATGGTATGTGACTCACTGATGTACTGTGTGTTTTTGTCACTTTAGAGTCTACATGTACAAACGTACATATGTTGCACTAGTTTGCAAAAAGATAAATCAAAATTTTATGGGTGAAATGTATTGGATTCTTTAATTTATAGATACTATATGGCAAAGGCAGCAGGAAGTTGCATGTACACTGCTGTGATTTTGAATTTGTCTATTTCCATATCGGTTTTATTTCGCCAAAGCATGGGTTTACATGAACTAACGGTCAACGCATATGTTTTTGCCATCATGTGACTTTTGAGTCTTCTCACTGTATGATTTGATTTATCATGTTCACATTGTTATGATTTTAAAGCAGTACAACAATTTCAAAAAGAAGAATGTTTTACAACTATAATGGCTTCCGGTTAAAGATATTTCTGCAACAAAACCTGGGCGATGTTTAAACTTTAATGAAATTCATATGGCACTATCTTGGATGTATTTGTATGTGTTACTAGTATTAGAGCAGAATCGATGATTCTACTGATATTGGATAGAGATCCCTCACAGTTGAAGTCTCTCCTCGACAGAGACTGCGAGCAGTATTGTTAATGTGTCAGTGCGGTTTCCCATGTACAAATCCTAACTTTCAAGTTAAATCATCTACAGTTAGTAAAGTAACATAAATCAAAGTTGAAAAGTTCTGACTGTCTTAAAATTGGCAGAATCCAGTCAGGATCTCTGTCAGTAAAATCACCAGATCAGAGTCTCCTCTGTGACATATACAGTTTCTTTGAACCTGAAACTCCAAAGCTATATCACTATGGCAAAATGGTTTTGGCCCCAGCTGTTGTTTCTGTATTATTATTACAATATTAAAAAAAATAATGGTATTATGAAATGACAGTGGGTGATACAAAATGCCACGCAACGTGTAAGTTTTCACCTAGAAATCATCTAGAAAATATTTTTTCATGGGAGTGCAAAGTACACAAGAGATTTTGTGAATTCATTAATACTGTTAGTGTAATGTTTTATATTTAGGTTTTAGCCGGGTGCATGTTTTTTACTAGGACCACATGTAACTAACATGATTGAAAATTGTACAAGTATAAGTATTTTTACCTGCACTGGTCATTCTTCAGAATTTAAGCAACTATGAATCATACTAAAAACTTATATCGGTGAAGGCTAGGCATCCAAAATGAAAGAGATTATTTATTTATTTATTACACAAAAGTGTGCGTCGTGTCTTTAGTCACGTATCTAAGCTTTTAACTGATCAAAGTACATAATCTCACACGCTAACTTCTTAAAACAGACAATTTTAGCGGTACTGATGCATTTTACCCCCCAGTGTTGCGCACGAAATCTGACGTTAAGGCGCAAAGGTCTTTGACCCTATGACGACTACTCACGCTGGTAATGGCACAAAACTCTTCAGGCTAACTATATGATTATCCCATACTTACGTTGCTATATCCCCTTGACTTTGCAACGTTATATGCAAATTACGATATCACGTGGAAGTCTTTCCTGTTTTTCTTCGCCAGAGGATTCATGTAGTCATGGAACAGATTTTCCGATTCAGAAAGGTATCTTGTAGATTTTGGAAAAACATATTTTAGATTTTAGATGTCTATAGCTAATTTGTGGGCTTAAGTCATAAAAGCTATCTGACATGTGTTTGTACTTTTGTAATTTATGGAACTGTTTTATTTCTGATAGATATTTCATAGTATTTTCACCCCAATGCAATTAAATGTAATCATGTTTGATAGAGATCTTTTACTGAAGGATTATCTGGCTGGTTATCTGTCGTCATCAACGACATTTATTTGTAGCGGGGAGTGATCCATGATTCGATATGATGAGAACGCTTTAACCAATCATCTAAGCATGAATGTGATGAGGTATCAAAAGCCTAACAGCAACAAAAGAGCATCACTGATTGGTCGATGTCATGTCCCACCCCTGCAGGATTCAGCCAACAAGTCCAAGCCAAAGTCTGGTTCTCCATCGCCAGACGAGCGGGATGACGAGATCTCCCCCACGCCGCCCAACCCCGCCATGACGGGCCGGCGCAGGCGGGGCGCCGTCAGCGCTGAGGTCGTGAAGGAAGAAGACCTGGCTTCCTACGTGAAGAAGGTAGTTCTCACGTCTTATTTCCAACTGTATCGTAACATGAGTAAGGAGACTCGTTTTACATAACCAAGACAGTCTAAGTCTTTTATTCAGCCGACGTTTTGGTGACCGTCTGTCTCCTTCCTCAGGGCAATTCTGACTGGTTCACAAGTCTGAAATGTCTGATTTCTTGTACATGTCTTATCATATTTCAACAACAGCTCCGCCTCCTAGTAGGGAGTCCTATATGAAGCTTATTTTCAATTAATCTAAATCCATGCACATTTTGTTCTAAAAGCACTGCAGCTTTCAAAATAAATAACTCAAAAGGTTGTCATACCTATAAGAAAGCCCCTCTGTAGTCCTGACATTGACAAATGCTTGGGTTTGTTTTGCCACATCAATTATTTGTACTCAATAAACTGTTCATGATTTCTAGAAGGTCATTTTATATTTAACAAGGGATCATAAGGTCATTATAGAAAGGTCACCACAAATCATACGTGTCATTTTGTAACCTACATTGTTTGACTAAAAATATGGCAGAAAATTGACATTATTGTTACCTTTTTTTGTGTTAAAATCACAGGTTGGGTTGTTGGAAAAGTGTACTATGTATAACCAAAGTTTTCTGTCTTTAGGTTGTTCCCAAGGACTACAAGACCATGGCTGCTCTTTCGAAGGCCATCGCCAAAAACGTGCTGTTCAGTCATCTGGATGATAACGAACGCAGGTATGACTTTCCTGCGGTGTCGCGAAAACACGAGAGTTCACATTGTTAAGAAAGAACACGATTACCACAAAGATACACAAGTACTGGCAAAACACAAGATTTCGACTGAAATAATGTCCTTCAATCTAGAAGTGCCACCCTCTAATGTGTTTTTTCTTCCATTTTACTTCCCCAGTGACATCTTTGATGCTATGTTTCCTGTTACCCACATTGCCGGAGAGAGGGTCATACAACAAGGTCAGTTTGAAATCTGCTCCCTTACAGTTCTTAATGAGTACTTAACACTATACTGGAATGTAGAAAAAAAAAAGCAGGTGTATTTCATGAAATTTTTACTACTGTGACCTTTGCATGTCCTCCACCCCACAACTGTTTCAATGTCACAGTTTTTAATGTTGACATTTTTTTTCCTTGGCCGGAGTCCACTAAAGCACAAACATGTTTTTCCTTTCACAGTCAACCAACCTTTTCTGTCCTGGCATTAAACTTCATTCCGTCCAGTCACATGTCACGTTTCATTCAAGACAGCTGAAACAACATGCCAGGTTTTGTCACGTTTGCTGCCATTGGTGGTTGGCATTGCCTGGTTGAATCTGTCACCAATGGTGGGGTTCCTATTAAAAGTGTGCTGGTAGAAACCTATATACTGATTGAGAGAGTTGATCTGATTGGACAGGGACGGTTTGTTTACAGGTGCACCAGTGCTGGAATGTTGTTTATTTTGTTGTTTATGTGAAGTTGTTTACCCCCTGCACAGGTGACGAGGGCGACAATTTCTACATCATTGACCAGGGTGAAGTAGATGTAAGTGTACAAACTTTCTTTCATAACAATCTTGACTGCATAACTGGCAAAATGACTTTTTTTTATTAATGAGAAGAGCTTAGATAAGTGTTTTGCATGTTATACTAATTCCTAAGTCTAAAATGGTATTTTGTCCACTGGGATAGTTCTAAAACTCTTCGCTGTTTTGTGCACTCAGATATATGTTGACAATGAGAAGGTGACGTCTATTGGAGATGGTGGGAGTTTTGGAGAACTAGCCCTCATCTACGGCACCCCTAGAGCTGCAACAGTCAAGGTAAACCTTTAGATATCCTCAAATATGCAACAGTCCAGGTACACCTTAACTAGCAGATAGAAAGATTGTTGGAAATCTAATCAATTCTTAGGAATCTTGCATAAACAATGTCTAAAAAAATTGTACTGTATGTGTATTTTTATTTTCATTTTATAGCATCACTGCAGTTTTTAGTTGTTGTTTCATTTCTCAATATGTCGTATCTGATTTCTTGTTTGTTACAGGCAAAGACAGACCTGAAATTGTGGGCCATCGACAGAGACACATACAGACGTATACTCATGGTATGTGTCCTACAATTATCATGTAAAAGACCATCTATGTTTTGTATTCTAAAGTCATGACATTCCAGTCCTTTTGTGATTGGGATGATTTTTTCATTTTCTAATTTTTAAAAATTCTGCCCACAGGGAAGCACAATGCGGAAGAGAAAGATGTACGAAGAATTCCTCAGCAAGGTTTCCATTCTAGGTAGGTTCCACAGTTCTACAGTTCTTGTGCTCATACACAAGAGAAAACAGAATGCTACAGTGTTTTTTCTTTCATCTGTAGAATCTCTTGATAGGTTTCACAGTCTGCATTTATCTAGTTCGGCAGATCTGTCAAACGTTGCTAGGTAGTGCTCGTATACTAGTGAAACCAGCTAATGTGTTTTCTTCCACTGGTAGAATCTCTTGATGAGTGGGAGCGCCTGACGATCGCAGACGCGCTGGAGCCATGCCAGTTTGACGACAGTAGTGAGATTGTAAGGCAGGGGGAACCAGGAGAGGACTTCTTCATTATAACAGAGGTACTGTTCTTCTTACTTAGCCTTCTTCACACTAAGCTGTGGGGTTGTGTATCAGTTTGTCCTAAGAGTAGGTTGACAGCACATGGGTTGAGGATAGATTGACAGGCATAGAGATGGGATGTCAAAAGGTCAGGTACAGGAAACACTCATAAAACATGAAAGGCTTAAAATCTGGTTGGGATATGGTGGTGGACATGGGGGAATTCAGGAAGCTCAGGATTGTCTAGCACTTCCTGGCAGTCTGAAATCTCTGATTTCTTGTTTGAGTTGGAGTGAGTGTGTGTTGACTGTTTTTTCTTATTGCAGGGCACTGCGGCTGTCCTACAGCGCCGATCGGAAAATGAGGAGTACGTGGAAGTGGGTAGGCTGGGACCCTCTGACTACTTCGGTAAGTTTATTCCACAATTAGCCTACAATTGTACTACAATTAGCCTGACTGCATCACACTTCTAGCAGCCCTTCCATTGGTCAGGCCTCTAGCTAGAAGGCTATTCAAACCAATAATATTCAGGATAGATCATGACTTCATAAATATGTAATGTGAAACTTTTCACGATGGTTATGAAATTTCTCTTTATTTTTCTCTCCCCAGGCGAGATCGCTCTACTCCTGGACAGGCCTCGTGCGGCTACCGTTGTTTCCCGCGGGCCCATGAAGTGCGTGAAGCTGGACCGCGCCCGTTTCGAGCGCGTCCTGGGACCGTGCTCCGACATCCTCAAGCGTAACATCTCCCAATACAACAGCTTCGTCTCGCTATCGGTCTGAAGTCCCTCGTCCGCGTGCCATAAACACGTTCGGAAATAAAACCTCTATCGTATTACGGCTCGGAAATATATCAACCCAGTCACAGGTCATATTTTCCCAGCACGTCAGTAGAGCGTGCTCCGCCTACACAAAACCAGAATGTCTCGTTTACGGTCATATTTGCATATTTAAGGATATCCCATCAATAGTTTTCGCATGTTGTGTCAGAAAACATATCGCCTGCAACGGGCAAAATTCTGATGCAACGTTGATCAAACATCCAACAAAAACTGCAAAAATCCAGGTTTCGTATAGCCGCAGTACGCTCTGCCAGCGTGCTTATTTTCCCCTACTAGATCAAGAATTGTCCACATATATGTTACACGTAATATATATCTGAAGTTTATGTGCAAAAGGTTATCCTGTCATTTGTACACCAAGTTTTCCACTTCATCGGATCCTACGCTTACGTTTGACTACATTTAGTTCAAAAGTTTTGTCACCTTCATCGGGTAAAAACAGAAGGGAAAAAATCTACTGATCTGTGATTTTACGTCCAACGTTCTTGATAACTGTTTTTTGTTTTTGTATCAGAAGCAGTTGTCACGAAACAATATGATAAGCAAATGTGCAAAAGTATTACGTAGGTATACATGCCAATAATGCCTGTCCTTGTTTGGGTAAGGGGGCGAGTAGGAAAGATGGTTAGGGAAAACGTTATGAAAGCTGTATAGATTGGGGCCTGCTTATTATTTGATTTGGTCTGGTGGTACTTGAAGTAAAATGGTCAGGGCAGGGGAACTAGACTGTGTGTGTATGCTATCAGATAGTGTTCTATTTTTCAAAGATAACGGACAGGCAAAACTGGCAGACATTTCAGACGTACAATAACATCTATGGTCATTTAGACACCAAATTGGAGTTATATATATTAGAAACACTAGAAAATGACAAGCATTGTGTTACTTTCTTAGTTCCTGTATGGTTATATTTTGTGCTTTCCCTCAGTAAAGTTTTCACCCAAATTCAGTGTTAGCGTATGACTCCCCTATTGTGAAGTGGATTGACCCAAAATCAGGCAACGGTCCAAGTAAACAATGGCAGTGTTTAGACCATTCCATTCACGCACAGGGATGGTTCAGCCATTTAACCAGTTTTGGATCATACCATTTCATAATAGGAGAGTGGACAAAAAGAGATACTATATAGGTCAGAAAGGAATTATTATTATAATATTACTCTTTGTGTATAATGTTCTTAGTATTGTGTTGTATGACAGTAAGCTGTCTTTATGGTGCAAGGTTTTGTTATCATGTATAATGTATCTTGTACGTAGTGTAAATGGCGCCCACAATTTATTTCAATATTATCTATAAAAGGTTTTTAATTATGTCTATCATTATATGGGTATTACCAAAGGTAAATGAAGAGTACATGTACATGTGCAAGTTTAATTCATGAGTGTGTGATAGTGAATTCAGTTGTGTCGTCGAAAGCTTTTAAGTGCGTACGTTGATTCGAAATGTGATCCCTTGGTAAATCGGTAGTTGAGCAGGCTCTGGGATCTTTCTTTGATCCGTCACTTGTGATCCAATCCCAGCGGTTGTTGTGATCCAGCCTTGATTGAGAAGGTATACTGTGGTCCGACTCACATGCAGATCAAGCTTGCTGTGATCTGACCAGTTAAAGTGCTGATCTACCAGATGTTTTGAGAATAGATGCATTAACATAATAAGCTGGTTCACTGTTCGAACTGCGCATGCAGTGTGATGCATTGTGGGTAATATGTCAAAATTGAATGCCCCTGGACTTAATTAAACAAAATATGTCATACTGTATTAAGCATGGTCCAGACAACAACTGTTTACAAGTTAGGGGCCTTTATCTTTTGACCTCATGCATGCATAGGTTAACAGTGTACCATCTTACATTGTATAACGAAGAAAGGTGTTGTATAAACTTATGGCTCAAGGATAAGGTTTTTCATGAAACATAAATACTGCTCTAGACATTGCCAATCTTTGCCCATATAGGTATGTCGCCTGATAGTTACAATCACATGACAGCATTCTTTTGGCAAGTATATGAACATTGCCTACAAACTATGGTACGTGTATTTACAGAGAACGGTGTCTTATACCGTTGAGAACGCAACGTCCCAAATACAGTACGTGCAGATACAGTTTGTATCACCAATCATCTGTTCAATTTGTAAAGCGAATTGATTTGATGGCCCTACTTTCGGAGGACAATGTTCTATAATTGTGAAAGAATTTGAACAGAATAACTGTTTTCCTGGTAATGTAAACATCTGGCAGATTGGGTGGGAACTGCAAGTTTGGTAAATCTGGTCACACGTCACTGAGTTTGGTACGTCAACATTCCACGTTTCCAAGTGTCCTTTGTACGCTGTGGTCGGAGCGCAAAGTCGCAGGCCTCTGATAGGTTGAAACATCTCTTTGGCTCCTCGTTTTGTTGCTAGCTTCTTTATCTGTGCTACGTTTTGTGACGTTCTGCAGAGACTCCAGTATTCAGTACAATTTTTAAGTAAACACACATCACACAAATTTAAAAGCACTTATTTCTTTAAGTCGTTGCTAAACGTCTACAGGTATGCTCGAAACAAAAGAGGCGTAGATATGATGTGCCTAGAGTTTTAATCGTTACGGATACAATTTACGAGTAATTTCTGTTCAAGAACACAGAAGAAACGGTGTCAGAGAAAGGTTGTAAAGAAGAAAAAAATGCGCTATATAGTGGCTGGAGGTTAGTAAATGGTAGACAAAATGTTCATATATTCATGTATTTACAGTATTGCCAGACCTCTACATAAGCACACTACCACTTGATATGTGTCTGCCTCTTCCTGCAGAGCAAGATAAAAAGGCTTAGTCCCCGAGGCTTTGCCAAAAATATACTCCAGTTCTCAGCTATAGTGGCGAGTAGGTAGACAGTAGTTGATTCCTACTGTTTGTTTTTTCTCATGTAAGAGAGTCGATCTTGACTGTAGGGTATATGATCATTGTACACAATTCTATGATATTACAATATATTAAGTCTGTACATGCACATTATTCTATTATTATTGTCCCAATAAATGGTGTATATTCAGATTAGTAAGTCCTGAGTCTTCAATGAGTTTTTGATGTACAAAAATTTGTGCGTTTACCATTATGGCAGTATTTTAGGAATGTTTGTGTACATAAATTTTGAACAAAAAGTCTGCAAGAAATCTGAAAAGAAAACAAAAACTGACAAAACTATGACTCGTTTCATCCAAAGAAATGAAATACGTTCTAAAACCACAAAGATAAAAATATAATCAAAGCTAACAACCTACTAATATATGGATGGCAAAGATGTGGTCTTTCAATGATGGAAATCTTTTGTGCGTTGATCATTTCTACAGTAACTAACAAGAACAATCAAATTGCACGTGGCAAAAACGACATAACAACCAACACAGCCATTAGAGCGAATGCCAGGTCCAGCAAAAGTCGCCTCCACTTTGACCTTGAACCTTGACTGTTAACCTTGCCATGACCTCTGTCCTTGAACCACTGCACGACCTCTGAAAGGTCAAACTCTGCTGGTTCGTACCCGAGTTCCCTTTTGGCCTTCCCTAAGTTAAAGTAGTGAGTCACCCCTGTCTTGTAAACCTGCAAGAGAAACATGAGTATACTGTTGGGTGATATGTTGCATTAGCTTGCCAATGTCAGAACTAAACCATCTAGTAAATTCATATTCTTACAGAATTACGGTTCAATCTTACCTCAGTCCTGGTTAGAAGAGGTTGGAAGTTATAGACCCTCCCCACAACAAAGTGGATCATCTCAGTTAGGAATGCTAAAAAAAACACATCAAGTCTGAGTTAGGTCAAAGGTTCAATAAAAGGGTAACTTTATTTCCTGTCTTCAGTTCCATTCTACATGTATATGCATATCTGTAATGCCTTTATTGGAGCCAGTGGTAAAATGTGTGGAGAGAAACTAACAATTATAAATGAGATTCAAAACTATAAATAGTTCATGTCAAGCTTTTTGCTTTCTTGTTTTTTGTGTAAAACATAAGATAAATCAAGACTCACCAAAGAAGTAGATGAGTGACACAGGTAGCCTGACTGTAGGATAGGTGTAACCAAGGCCTTCAACCTGGGGGATTAAGGTAACAGTCTACATTTGACATTTATGAAATTTGGCAGACTGCCATCAAGTGTCAGCGTGTAAGCATGTCTAACCCTTGGAAGATGGGGAACTACTGACGATAAAACAGATACGGGGTAGCAAGTGAGTGACTGAAGTGAGTGAAGTGATACAAATAGAGAAAGACCTATCCTAAATGTCCATCACAATTAGCAGTTAAACCAATGACAGCATTTCAATTAACTGTTCAACCAATCAATTGTTTGATCAGTTTTCTGTCAAATATATTAATGTTTTTATGTTGCTGTTTATATTTTCCTTACCAGTGGTCTAAAGAACTCGAAGTTGTTGACTGGTTTCCCGTCAGAGATGAAATAAGCTTGTCCTGCCTGGAATGCAAGTCACAGTATAAAAGGAATAACAAGTCACAAAAAACAAACAACTACAGTCTATATTGTAGTAATTTTTTTGAGGGGGGGATAAAAAAATTTGGTTAAGAGAGCTTTTCTTAATTTTCATCTAAATGCATTAATTTGAAGTTTATAACTGTAGTTGTAGGTCTAAATCTTCTCAAAAGGTGGCACTTCTTTCCCCATTATGAATTCATGACATCGCAAATATTTTCCTTGTACAATTATAGAACTTAAGAATTTCTTCAACTGCCAGTTTTCCAAGACTCACTGCTATGTGCTGTTTGTCCTCTTGTAATGCGCGTCCTGCCAGTGCATGTGCCTTTGCCAGGTTGTCCACGTGTACAAACTCAACAAGGGAGTCAGCCTCTCCATACACAACAGAAAACAGGCCCTGCTCGATGTAGGACTAGACAAAGAAAATTTAATGTCATTTAAACTGTTCACGATGGCAGACAGAAACATAATATTGCAAGCATTAACGTTAACTTACTCTCCTAACACTGAGCATGTGGTTTGATTTCCCTGAAAAGTGAAAGAGAAAAAAAGGGAAAAACTTTTTCACATTGATATTCAATATCAACCTTGCTAAGAGAATTTGAAGTTTTCCTTAAAAAAAAAAACACCTCTGCAGTAAATTAAATAGCCTGACAGTCTAATCGAACCTCTAACTTGATCGAACCACCTGTTTCTCGGTGTAACTTAATACATCTGCAAGTCTGAAACCTCTCGAAAGGTGGCGCTGTTGTACGGGTATTATACAAGCTACGGTGCACAAAACGGTGCACAAGGAGGATTTGAACCTCCTTGCACGAACCAATAACGTGGCAAATTCTGGGACTATCGTTCTCGGAATAGCCATGAAATAGTACAGTTTCGGGTCCGTGGTGAACTGAGAGCTAGGTTCTAGGCTACAAATTTGGCTCAAACCAAACGTGCAAACCCAGCAAAATCCACACGAAAGGAAGCCTTTGTTGGCTGACGATAACGTTAAGTATTAGTTAAAGGATGGGCGGAGCGAGTTTATGTGGATTTGGTACAGCCCCGCCCTCCCAAGGATTTTGTTGGCATCCCGAGGGCGGAGCCCGAGGGGTGCCAACAAAATCCGAGGGGGGTGCGGGGCTGTACCAAATCCACATATACGAGCAATTCGCCCATCCTTTAACTGACTTAGAACATGACCATCTTTCCGAAGCAGAAGAAATACATTTTACACAATCATGTTTTGTTTTCTTCAAAAACCACTCGTTTGTTTTCCTAGAAACCTTACCAACAACATTACAGCTTGTAGTACGTCCTTTTGTTCTCATTCATGAATTGCAGCTGAGCTACTTCTCGCAGCCTTGTGTGAAATGTGCATAGCGGTTCTTGTCATGGTTTACAACACCTTGCTAGCCCCACAATGCCTTCTGTTTTTGGGTTTAAAAATTCTCGGTTGTCTGTCTGAGACAGCAGTCCCTGACCTGATCCCAAACAAGTTGGTCGTGGCGTCTCTGCCGGCCTGTTCAGTGTTCTGTTCCCGGACCGACTCGTTCCTGCTCTAACCCCTCCTTCCCTCGCCCAGTGCCTGCCCTGCTGTCTAAGCATGTTGGTGTATTCTTTTTTTAGTCTTACCGTGGTTTGTTTTCAAAGTTTAAGAATGTGCAAATCATGTCAGACATGTTGGGAAGACTTTGCATCGTTTTAATGTATCGCTAAAAGTTTGTAGCTTCTGTGTTTCATTTTTTTTACAATGTATGAGAAACTCTCGTTATACATGACATTTGTAAGAAACCTTCTGATTTTTTTGCTTCATCCATACTCATTATTCATTCTCTGTTCGTTGTTCACTTTCCTTGTCATGAGTTTCTTTTGTCTACCTTTTTGAATAAAGATATACAGGGAAATTGATCAAACTGCTGTTTTCTTGTGTTGTTAATTTTTTTAATCAATTTATTTGCATGTGAATGGTGGGCGTCTCCAACTTAGTCAATTTATGCGTTGGTTAGTACATGGGCGTCTCCGAGTTAGTCTAATTTATTCGTTGGTTAGTACACCCCTGTCCCTTTGGGGACCGCACTATGTGGATTTAGTCACAAGAAATACAGGCTCCTGATTGGCTGAGGAAAGGTGGCCATGTTCTAACTGGGGGTAAATATCCAATGAATAGCCCGAGAATATCTTCTTCCCAGCTTATATTTGATCATTAACAACAACGTGGATGAAAATGCAACAAAAATTCACTACGAAATAATTAATTATGCAACTTTTACTATTCATATGCCTAAAAATATCAACTCCCTCACGCAACTGGGCCAGTAGCGTAATGGATAACGCGTCTGACTTCGGATCAGAAGATTGCAGGTTCGAATCCTGTCTGGCTCGATTAATTTTTTTTCATCTCTTTTTACTTCCTCTTTTTAAGAAAAAATAACCATCAGTAGGCAAACACCATCATAGCTATCATTTTCAAGTACAATTTTTCCTCTTTCTCATGTGAATAAAGATCGAACATCGTAATGCATTCAGGCTTTCCAGTATCTGCAGTTTGTCTCAAGATCGGTAGTCGGCGCTGCTACACTGCGCGGCATGCAATGCATGTTTTCATTCTAAACCTACCACAATCCTGGGCAGATGTCTCTGTTCCCCTGGTCCGTATATTCCTGCAGGTCGCAGGGCACAGGTGTGCAATGCGCCTCCGCCTGGAAGAAAAAAAAATCATTTGATGACAGAAAATCACAAAGAAATGTTCAAATGTTTTTCTTCTATATTTTCTGATAAATGTTCAAAGTTTAAACCACATACATTGTACATGTAATGTTACATATTAACAATGAATAACAATAGAGTTACACACAATCTTCTCTTATTCTTCTTCCTTCATATCATTCCATAAAAAACAGATACCTTCCACCATAGTCCCATTTGCCTTTAGGATTTCCATTTCTGCCATGGACTTGGTCATGGAGTAGTAGTCTGGGTGCTAGAAAATAAACCATAGGTTTCAAAAATTGAAAAAACAAACAAACTTTGATATCCTTTATGCAGAGTGATATATATATAGCCTAACCAATTTCCTAGGCTAAGTATGCCGCATATGGATTGCATACATCCTGGAAGTCTGAAATCCCTGACTTCTTGTTAGTCATGTATGTAAAGGGTAGTTTCAATAATATGCTGATAGGTGATTATATTGCTTATCCAATACTGATGATAGAAATACAGGTACGGCTACAGTTGTCTTATCTGTTACCTTGTGCAGAGGTAGGTATGGCAAGGACTCGTCCCCAAACTCAATCTTCTGTCCACCAAAAACCACATTATAGGTACTGGTATAAACCAGTCTGTGTACACCCTGTCTGCAACAGGCTGGAGACAACAACAAAAACAACAACATTAATACAGTACAAAACAATATACCACTACCCTCCCTGGTCTGTTGAGGAGAGAGAGAGAGAGAGAGAGAGAGAGAGAGAGAGAGAGAGAGAGAGAGAGAGAGAGA